CGACTGACATTTGTGGTGGTTCAAATTTTCAATTTACAATAAAATACTTAAATTTTATCTTCATTTCTTTTCTTACCTAGCCCCGATCGATAGATAATTGCAATTAATTGACTTTCCGTTGCTGCGCCACCAATTAATTAATTGGGTTCAAATAATTGCAATTAATTGCACCCACAATCAATTATTCGGTGGCCTGGTATTTCGTAACTTAAAATTTTGGGTTCAATTTTTTTGCTTGATTTAGGAGCCATTAAGTTGAAGGTCAGAAAATTCAAATTATTTTCAAAAAATTACATTTAACTATTTAAAAAAGATTTGACGGAATCACATGTATAATTAAATGATCTGGTTGTTTTTAGTAATAACGTGTTTTTGCGATTTAAAGATAAACAACTTCACGCGTGTATAATACTCTTTTTTGCAAGGATATTTTTAATTTTGATTGTGTCGCGTGCTATAATTAGTCAGTCAATAGACTTGCCAGTATAAAAAATTATATTGCACGAACTTCAAAAGAGGGATTCTAATTGATGAAGGTCAAGATGTTTCAGTCAATAGACTTGCTAGTTTTGACGAAATTACATGTGTTATAAGCTTAGAATCCAAAAAATATTATATTATAAAGTGTTTAATCACAATCATATCTGGTATAAAGTTGATATTTTTTATATGTAATATATTCTAAAATTGTGAATTCGTTAGTGTCACGTGTTATAATATAAGATAATATTTTCAGAATTAGATCAAAAATTCGTATGGGTCATGACAATTGATTGATTATACAATATTTTTATAATTAACCGGTTTTTAAAGTTAACATAAAGCCACTCTAATTTAAAGTTTAATTCAATTATAGAAATTACGATTTTCATATTATCTATATATTTAAAACCAGATTATACGTATATCTGATATGTAAATCAAGTCAACTATAATTAACAATATCAAAAAATCTGTTGTAATTTTCGGCACAAATTATGTAGAGAAATAAAGTTGCAGATCTTATTAAAGAATTATTTGATACGAACCGATTATTTTAAATGGTTAATAACCTTAACCTTAAAATTATGATAAAAATGATAAATAAATAAATTAAGTATAAATGAAAGAGTAAAAAGCAATATATAAAATTTATATTGATTAGTTATGACATCAGTAATATTGTTTATACATTTTTCTAGGATGTTAACATTGTTTTTGCAAACGTCATGTTCATTTGTTAGTGATTCACTGGCTGAAAAATCTTCAAAAGATTCAGAAATAATTGTTTCTATACAAAATTAAATAATTAGTGTCTCTCTCAACATCATATTTTAATTAAAAATTCTTACCCAGAGAAGAAACTAATGCATCTTCATTTAAAGAATTGGGTAATGAATTATTAGATTCAATGATATAAATTATTATGATAAAATTCTTCATGATTAGATTGAAAAAGATATTCTCTTGGTTCAAATGACATTTTTATTCGCTTTATGGTAAGAAAAGAAATGAAGATAAAATTTAAGTATTTTATTGTAAATTGAAAATTTGAACCACCACAAATGTCAGTCG